CTTCTTAATCATTTAATTTTTATTAGTTGATGACACACGTATTGATTATAACTTCAGTATCTATAAAGCTCGAGAGAGATCAATCTCAAAACATTTATAATTTAAGGAATTGAAGTGTAAAACAAGCGTATTTCCAGAGCTTACAGGTCTTTCGAGTTTTCATTTGTTTAACTATTTACGTGGTTCTATCCTTGCTCCAGAGCGGACACAAAGTGGCTTATTTGAACTGCAATCAATAGATAGTCTTAATGGTTCCCAGAAGTTTTGCTAGATTACGTGAAAATGTCAACACACGAAAACCACACCCTACAAGCCCTGGGCAAAAGAACAGATGCTAAAGCCATGTTGTTCCAGGTCAGAAAGTTCTAGTTAATAAACATGAAACATCACAAAAGTTTATTTTATAAAAAGCTATTAAAAATTGCTCTAGGATTCAGTATTTCTTCATTATATTACTACTCAAAAGAGACTTCCACACAAATCTAGAGTCTTTCTGAACTCCAAAATGAGGTACCATCTCAGATTTGACTTGGAGCCAAAAATCTGCTATCTTGGTTGCCTCGTTTCCTTTAGATATTTCCCATTCTAGCATGAAGGAGATACTCCAGTTTGGGAAATCTAAAAGCTCATAACCCAAGAAATGCAGAGACACAAAATAACCAACGCAAACTAAAGCTACTTTCAAAAGAGTGTAATTCCAAAACACGTATTTCCTGAAAGTAGCAACTTAGCTTTGAATTATTGGAAATAAAATTAGGTCTGAGCTAAAGGCTAAGTTAATGATGCGTCCTTTAGTTCACATAGCTGTCACTGAGTTGGGAGAGAACTCTTGTAGTTTTATTGCTTATAATGCACTGTATTCGCTCAATATTCAAACAGAAGTAACAATATAAACATGCAACTTCTGACTCTAAGCAAGGAAAACGCGCACCACTTGAACACTGAAGTGGCCTCGTGCTTTCGACCAAAATAGCCACGTCATGTCCCTGGGTGCCACCTCAGAACACAGTGGCCCTGAGAAGATTATTAGGCCCATTTCTGCTAGATAAGAATAAATAAAAACAAAAATTAAGTTAATAGTTTAAGGGAGGAGCATAAAGACTATTTAAATGCTTTTATAAATAACATATACCAAGAAACTACTTAAATGTTTTTTCAAAAATAACAAATACCAAAAAATGTGCTGTTTTTCTAACTGTGCACAGACACTAACTACAAGAGAAACACGAGCTCTTTACAAAGGCTGACCCATGGTCCAGGGGCACCGAGCCCAGTGCGCGTGCTGGGGTGTCACCCTGCAGAAGCTGCAGGCGCAAGGCAGCCGTCTCTGAGACAGGCAGCCAGGCCTGGTGCCGGCAGCTGTACTTTAGGGTGACGGGGCGGGGCTCCAGCTCCCCATCAGCAGTCAGGAACAGGCCTCAAAGAGCAAGCACCAGGTCTTCAAACGGCTGCAGGTTCTGCTCTCTTTTCCTAAACTGTCGGGAAATAAACACAGGAAAGGATGGTGGCAACATCCATGGGTCCCACATCTCCTGGTGGAAAGCTGCCACAGGTAAGAAAGTGTGGGCGATCAAGATGAACCTTTGCAGAGGGTTAGCTTCGGGGAGACAGCTCAGCAGCGTAAGCACCTGCCCTGCGCCTGCCGGAAAGCCGAGGATCCTGAGTTCACATATATGTATTTGCAACACTTCGTCAACCTGTAACACTTCATCAACTCCTTTTATACCAAAGGGTTTTTTTTTTTTATCCCATTCTTTGTAAGGGGTGTGGGGGGGTGTAGAGAGGGAGGGAGGGAGAGGGAGGGAGAAGGAGAGGGAGAGGGAGAGAGGGAGGGAGGAAGAGAGGGAGAGAGACAGACAGACAGACAGACAGACTGACTTCACTGCTTCACTGCATAATACACTACACTGAATTTCCCATAAATGGATTCTGCTTCGTTGAGACATTAAGCTTCAACTCTGGTGATTTCGTGCTTTAATCAAGGCCAGAACAGAAAGATGAAAAGAGGCCTGGGGATATACTCAGCAGCACAGCACCTGCCGAGCAAGTGTGAGGTCCTGAGTTCAATTACCAGTACAAAACAAAACAAAACAAAAAAACACAGAAAGATGAAGAGTTTCCTAAAGAGAACTTATGCTCCCAGATACCAAAGATGCTTATGAAAGAGATTATAATAAGTAAAATTTATCCCAATACACTATAAACAAAAACCTTAGTAAGCTCTGATTTGGGGCACGTAAAATTCTTTAATTCTATATTCTTAGTAGCCTGATTTATTTCAAGGTTTCACAGAACAAACTTTTTCACATTAAGAAAAAAAAATTCTAAATAACCTCTATGGTTAAATATACAATATGATTTACAAACCGTGTTAAAATGATGGATTACTTCTGAATGACCAAAGAAAATTCCAATTATAATCCATCTCAGTTTGATATTGGATTTTATATTTTATCTAGTTTTTAAAACTAGTAACAAATGTACAATTTGTTTATATACATTTTTTGGCAAATCATAAAAGTCTCTTGCCTATAACGCCACAGTGTGTTTGTTCTTGAGTTTGTTTCCAACGAGACAGTCCAGCTAAGCTGCCAGCATTGGGCTGGAGCTCGGGAGGCTGCCCTCTTTAGCCCCCAGAGCTCCGGCATCACAGACATGAACCACCAGGCCCAGCCCCAACTCAGTTTCTGGGGACAGACTTCAAAAAAGTTTTATTTTCAAAAAAATTTCAAAACATCAAAAAATTAGAGGTATCTACTTAGCTATCTGTTTGCCAGATTATATGAAAACAGAAAAATTAAGAGATGCTATAAATGTTAAATTCAACCAAAGCTTTTGAGAAACGTTGAAGATCAAATTCTGACCTTAAATAACTACACAAATGTTACTTACCCAGCTCAAGTAAGGAACACTTTTAGGTGAACAAATTCCTCCTGTACATGTTCAGAATTGCTTTTCAACAATAACTGCTTTATTAATTTCAATCAAGCTGTCATTCAAGTGTTAAGAATACAGCCTTTGTGTAGCCTCTCTTGTAACACTTCATCAACTCCTTTTCTACCAAAGGTTTTTTGTTTTTGTTTTTGTTTTTTTTCATCCCATTCTTTGTAAAATGAGTGAGGTGGCTTTAAAAAAAAAAAAATGTTGGAACACAATTCCCTTTAAAGCTAAAAGACATTTTGGAAAAATAAGTGATATAAATCTAATCTGCACAAAAAATAATAAATGTAACCAAATTATACTTAACACTGTTCAGGGTTTTTTGTTTGTTTTGTGCTCCACTTGTAATAATATCAGTTTTATGGGTATATAAAAATCAACTTGGTATCTATCTTAAAAATGTATTTAATTAGAACCTTTTAACTTTAAGTACACAGCACTTTTATCAAATAATGAATAAATTAATACTTGAAAACATGCTTTTATTAAATTTAGGACACTTCTGGCACAAGCTAGGCACACACAAGGACCACGTGCATCTTAGGGACTCCGTACCTGCACCTGACAGAACTTAATTAATGCCCTTTCCGCCTTCCCCTCCCTTCCCTTCAATTCTTGTTTCCCTCTTTATTTGTACAAGTTTTGTTTCCATTTTTTTTTCTCTCTCTCTTTTTTTTTTTTTTTCTTTTCTCTTCCTATCTTGAGGGTTAGAATTCGGTAAGGTAAAAGGTAACCTTTCAAGTTAGGGTTCACCAAAGTAAAAATAAAAGATAAAATGCAGGCAAGACTCAGAAAAAAGTAGTAAGTTCATTCAGCATTTCATTCTTTTACTTGTATATGTACTTGTACTTCCTAATATTTTATAAGAAATTACTATTTTCATATATTTTCATAAAATTTTGAGATTGTTCAGGTATTTCACAGTATGACAGGGAACAGCAAACAAATACTAAGTTACCTGAAGAAATTTATATTTACGATTTTTGTAGTCTTTGGCTGTTTATCTTCACTGAAATGACATATGAGGTGACATGACGAAGCTGAGGGCATGTGGTAGCGGCTTTGGGTTTAATTTATTTTTGGTTTTCTTTACCTTTTCCTTAGAATACTTTTTTTTTTTTTAACAAAGTCACAGATACAATTAAAATTCTTGTAATTAAAAATTAGGAATCGTAGGCCAGGCAGGAAAGGGAGTGCCTTCCCAGCCCCACCCCTAGGATGCCCTGAGAGGAGGACTGAGACTGGGCGTGGTGGTGCACGCCGGTAATCCCAGAGCTAGGGAGGCTGAAAACAGAACAATCACTATGCGTTGGATCTATGTAGTGAGACCCTGTACCAAATACATTAAAAAAAAAAATAGAAATCCTTTCTTGCACTAGTTTTATATTATTTTTTCTTGTGAAAAGAAAAGCACAGCTTATAAATCAAAAGTAAAAAAACTATACGTTCATGTTTTGGAGCAACAAGACTATGAGAATAGCCAAGGTATAAAAGCCCATTTTCAGATCTGGAACAACTTCTGAAAACAAACAGGGCATTTGGCATACTCTAACTAGAGAAAAATCCTACTTTCATTATTTTCTGATTCTAGAGATCCAATAAAAACCTTATGGAATAAAACTTCTTGCAAAAAATCCTCAGTGAAAACACAGCCAACCACCAGCTCCACTCCTCTTTTAAATAATGAGATTTGATAAACTATAGTAGGAGTATGGAAATTTTTATTCTCAGTTGTGAGTTCGGAAAAAAATGTTGTTTTTTTCTTTAACCTTTCTAACAGCAATGGCTTTTAGTCTCTAAAAGATACGCAACGAAAACACATGCATATTCAGGTTCAAAGAAATACCAACAAAAATTAAAACGCTGGTGATTAGCTAAGTGACGCCAATACAGAAGAATTTGCCACTGCGAAGAGCCTGCACACAATCACATCTTGTCCCAACTGTACCTGCCTGCCAGGACCAAACAGGCACCTGACCAGTTATGGGTGTTTATCCATACAGTGGTACCTTTGTTCTCCAACAATGTCAGACTGCAAGCATCCTGGAACACATATTTACCTGGAGGATTCTTGGCAGGATCGTTGTGGCTTGGACTTCCTGATTGTCCAGAATCTATAAAGAAATCACAGAAAATGTTTTCTTTTTAATTTGTTTTGAAATAATTTCACAATCCTCAGAAGGACTCTTTAAAAAAAAGTTTTTAAAAGTACAACAATGAGGTTGAGTGTTTAAATAAAGCAAACTTTCTCAAACCTTTTGATAGGAACGTTTCATTCATCAAACCAACTCTCTACACCAAATGGAAATAAAAAAGTATTGATCTGGAATATTCTTGAGACAGAACAAGAATTTTATTGAAACAAAGGACCTGGCTACAGAACCACTAAAGAGAGCTTGAAAGTTAGGCAAATACTAAGATCAGTCAATAGAAACAAAGCAGATACATCCCCTTAAAAATCCAATCTGAGGATGATTAAACATGCTTTTTAAAACCTGGAAATATGCTTACATTCAAGTAGTAAAATACACAGAAAGGAGCGCCTGCGTTTTCAGGACTTGACACACATGTACACACATCTACTCCAATAATCCCCCAAACTCCTGGATGCCAGCCCAGATTCGCCTGCATCCCATAATAGCAATTGATTTGCAAACACCAAGAACAGCATAAATTACTAGGTAGCAACCAAAAGGACTTAGTGGAGAGCACATGGCCGGATCACTTTAATTTCCATCTGTGATAGGCCGAGAGACTTCTCAGATAAGGGGAAGAGACCAGGGCAGCGCCTATGAATTCCTTACGCCACACTCTTCCTCATCAGTGCTACAGGACAAAAAGTGGAGGACACACAACTGTTAGACAACATGCCTTTCTGACTAATCGGATGCTGCTGTGTTTTGCTCACTCCTTGCCTCCATGTGCCCTCTGCATTTATCTGTGTCATTTGCCCCATGTTATTATACACTTACTTGCAGGTTGCTTTGTAATCTTCTTTTATTGGTTCTAGCATTTAAATTTTGTCTCCCCAGCTAAATTACATGCTCCTAAGCAGAGGCAGAGATTCTGTCTACTTCTTTTGTGTCTTCCTCATCGTGCTGTGAGTGCACCAAGCTTGTGGTAAACGCCAGAGATAGCTCCGTGTCAGCCGCCTTCGCTGCCTGCCTCAGGAAGGCAGTTGCGAACATGATGGCTGAATTTCAATAAAATGTCACGGGTGGGTCAGCAGCAACGGCTCTGGCATGGAAACCAGCTCCTGCCGAGGGTCTTCCTCAAACTTTGTCTTCACACTCGAGCCCAGAAAGGAGCTCAGCCTTGGGGAACCAGAAATACCAGCTGCTGAATTTTCTCCAGGGTTATTCTGTTCTTGTAGGTACGTGGTTAACACCCTACAATGGCTGGTTCTACTGTTAATTTCTTTCTATAATATAAAACTTGGCTCCTAATTTCTGCCCTTACCTCATGCCTATCTGCTCAGATTTAACACTGGGAGTGCAGAAAAACAGAATTTTATGCCTCATTCCATTTCCTGTCTTTTTCTTTTTGGTCTAGAACAGCTTCTGTGAAATCTTAACAAACATATTTAGTGATTCCCACACTGTCTTCCAACTTGTTCCCAACTTCCCAAAATGGAAGTGAAGAAACTGGAAAGGACCACTCCTGCAGTCTGGACTCTGTCTAGTGTGCCCTGCTGACAGTCAAAGAGCTCTAAAAATCTTCCCTCTTATCTCCATGAATTGTTGCATTTCTTTTTCTGGAATCGAGGCAGCACTCAGTGACTTACAACTTCAGAGTATAATCTTTCTCTTTCTACAGTCCTATCAAAGAGGGTATAATATTGGCCACTTTCCAAGCCTCGAGTATGAGAGCTACATGGAAATGATAAATTATATTATTTTGCTTATAGCTCAGCTTTTTTAGCTCTGAGTTCTCTGACAAATGTCTTCCAGTGTTTCTCTATATTGCGATTTAGTTCTAACACGTCCAGGGGATTCCTACAGACACACCACACGTTCTCCGACCAGCATCTCCCAGATCCTACGTTTCACTCTACAGCTACCTCTGCCCTAAAGCTATCTAGACCAAAGCCTAGACACACATACCACACAACAGGCAGGGCACAGCGGCACGCTGCAGGCATGGCTTCATCTTGGAAGTTGTACGCTGCGTGTGAGCCTTGTCATGTTTAGCTGTAACAAGTACAGGACAGCACGAATAACTCTTTCCCAACCATTTGTTGCTAAAGTTCAGGTCCACTGGAGGAAAGAAGAAAAGCTTCTTTCATCCCCAAGAAAGCATTCAGTTAGCACAATGGCATCTCCACTTGAAAACCTCTATTCTTCTTCATCTTTTCTTTTTTTTTCTGAAAATTACTTATTTCCCCATTTTCAACAACTGCGGACCAACTCCTTCAACTGAAAAAGATACATTTATTCAAAAAGCCACATTTCAGAGAAAGCTGAAGTGAATGTTAAGCTAGAGTCATACATTTACACTTTGTATCAATTCTACTTTCTAAGATGGTCTGGTGATGTTCATGGGCACCCAACGGCAGGTTTTCCTTCATGCTCCCCGTCTCATCTCACAAAGAAGAACAGCACATACCATGCAAGACACGGGAGGCCCCATGTGGGGGAGCAACAGAAACTTCACTTTTCCAACTGTCAGTTCTAACACTACAGGCCGCTTGTAACCCTTACGTCACCTTGTACTGGACACCTGACTCTAACTGCTGCAGCAGGGAGTGAGCAGGGAGTCGCAGCTGGCAGAAAAACCAGAAGCGAACTATTACTGTGGCCGACTTCAGGGGGGTTATTCAGACCACATCTGTAATCACTCCCACTCGCCACCTAGGTCAAACTGCTTTATACGCAGAGGTCAGCTCCAACCACTGCATCCCTTACCGGTCTCCCTGCCTCTCTGTGTGTATGTGTGCATGTGTGAATCAGGGGAATCATGGTTTTGTCTCTGACTAATCCTGTGACCTCACATGAAATTACTCAGCTCTCAGAGTCTTGCATCTTGATCTTGAAAACTGCAATGAAACTATGCGCCTCATGGAATCACTGCTAACATCCACCTCCCGTGCCACGCCCTGGCTCAGACACCGCCTGTTAGATTAAACAGCAAAAGATAGTCTTCTGCACAGAGCAGAAGTGTTGAAAAGTGATTTATATTTTGAATGAACTCTCAGGAAGAAAGCAAGAGAACACAAAATTCACGAAATTCTTCCCACCCCCGTGAGGCATCTAAACGTGACTGGTGGAGGCCCGAGCCTGTCGGGGACCCCCAAGTGCCCACAGAGGCGGGCGCTACAATTTCCAAGTGCCAGGGAGCTTACAGCCCCAGGCAGCAGAGACCTGCTGGCTCACGGCAGTCGCCCTCCTGCAGGCTGGTGACTGCAGAAACAGGCCTGCAGAGCACAGGGCTGCAAGCTCCGGGCACACGGCGGGCTCTGGAGCCTGGGCCAGCCGTGCCACTGAAGCGGTGGGTCTAGAAGGCCGCTGCCCCTACAGGTCCCCTTATTCCCTCCACCGTTCACTGTCTCTTTCTGAATCTAGATTTATGTGCTTGCCCCCTTCTGATTTTTCTGGACATAATGAACCCAGATATAATTTTTATTATATACTTACGAAAATCTCATCCACAGTCATTCATTCTCTGTCTCTGTCTGTCTGTCTGTCCTCTGTCTCTGCCTCCCTCCTTCCTCCCACCAGGATCTCTGTTTGTTCAGGCTGCCCCGACCTCCAAGCTGAAGCAAGCCTCCTGCCTAAGCCTCCTGGGCAGCGAAGACCACAGGTGCAAGCCGCTGCACCTAGATCTCTATGTTGTGAACATGTGAATTTAAGCATGCACTTATCACGGGGGGCCCAGGAATCTCTGTGCCATTACATTTTTAAGTCTATCTGTTCCTCTTCTCCAGGAACGGGAAGATGCTCACAGCCCACATGACCCTCCCAGAATCTCTTCAGTCATTCTGTTCATTTCTTTTTGAAAACAGTCAAGCTCCTATGGGTCTTCAATATCTAAACTTAGCTGCAGATCTATCTCTCAGGCTTCCATGACCCAATAGTAGGGGACGCCTCAGAGCACACAGGGAGACCTGAGTGGATTGTCAACATCACGTGGCAAGTCCCTCTCAGCGCCACCTGCTCTGGCCCACTGCTTCTGGAATGATGCAATCTCAACACCCAACAGCCAAACCGATTCGTCAGTAGATTAAGCATTTCTGAGAACTTTATCTTCCCCTGACTTCCCTCCTACTTCCCACCATTTACTAATAAAACTGAAATATTTTTCAGAACTTTCAATATCCTTTATCTATTCTAAATTGGAAATTATAATTATCACCATTAAAATATGGACACTGATGTCTTAAAGAGAGGCTGCTTGTAAGCCTAATTTAGTTTAGGGGCTTTTTGTTAAACAAAGGAAGTATTCATGTTCTATGGATGACCTGGTACAAGTCCAATAAAATGTTTGTTAAAAATACATGCTAATTAAAAAATTATGGTCTGTAAAATGTTTGTTACTGAGCAATCACTTTCTGGAGTGAATGAACTGTGACTCTCTGAGGAAGGAAGACTATCAGCCTGGAGAAAGACCTCTTGGAAGTCACTAATGTACACTTAAATTTAAATAAAGATCAACTAGATTTATGGAACACGTATATCCAAATGCTTGGAACACAATAGGTGCTTGATGTTTATTAAATTTCTAGTTAGTTTACAATCATTACCCTTATAATATGAATATAAACATATAGTTTATATTAATATGTATATATTATACATGTACACAAAATATGCTAAGAAGTTCTATAGAAGTTATATAGCCTAAAGGGATAAAAATGTACAAATTTTAACAAACTTGGGAGGGAAGAATGGGCCATCAATGAGCACTAAGCCACAGGCAGGGGTGAGACACCGGTGAGCTACTGCAATAAGGCTACAATAGAAGACGACAATGTACTGTGTGTCTCAAAAGCTGGAAGGAAGAATTTTTAATGTTTTTACCATAAGGCAAAGATTAGTGTCAATAGAGACAGACACTTTAACCTGACAAACATTATAAAATATATTCATCTGTTAGAATATTACAAGAGTACAGTTTT